CGATGGCCTCTAACCTAGAAGTGATGGCCTCCAACCTAATAGCGATGGCCTCCAACCTATATAGTAGCGGCGGCCTGGCCTCCAACCTAGAAGCGATGGCCTCCAACCTAGAAGCGACGGCCTCTAACCTAGAAGCGATGGCCTCCAACTTAAGAATGATGGCCTGCAACCTAGAAGCGATGGCCTCCAACCTAATAGGACTGGCCTCAGTATATATACATATATATATATATAGTGTTCGCATTACACAAATGTTTGTTTCGATCTGTTTCGCCCTTTTGTGTTTGCATGAGGGGTTTCGCTTCACATCATCTCACCAATCATAACTTCATCTTTGAGGAGAAGGTGGATGGCTACTAAATCAACATGTGACTCAAAGTTCGACAATGTTTAAGCATCGTTCTGCCTGCTCCACAAATCAACTGCGTGCAGCTCACACCTTGAATTTCTTGGGCCTCCGAGCCGATCTGACGAGAGATGCAGTCTGCCTTGGGACCGAGCTGGTAAGTGAGTCCACTTCTTGAGCTTCGACCAAAGGTTGCTGATGCTCTGCTGATGCTTGATGTGGCCCTTTTGTTGCTTGGAGACTTCTCCCTGCTCGGGCAGTACCATGCCCCTCAGTAGCCTTATCTCAACTGACCTCTTGTCGGGGGGACATGATGATACATGTTCCGGATTAAGCGATATCTAATATTTGTTCAGGTGTGATAGTCGTCACTTTGGACAAACATGAACTGAGACCGGAAGCTAGAGGAAACATCCGGGAATCTTCCGCAGAACCGCCTGATCCGCTGGACTACCGCTTCGGCCAAGCAAAACACAAACCTCCAAGGCTTCTGCTAGCTTCTGTTCATCTGTGACGTCTGCCGGCAAGCCGGACCTTAGAACCGTCCAACGAATCAAGGCACTGCCGACGGATGCTGGTACAATTGATGCAATATGTTGGAATATGCACTGCATGGAGTGGCTTCAACACAGCTCCACTCATCTTCACATTTGGGGGAAGGGCGTAGACGACAAAGCCCACTGCCTGAAAGTTCACGAAGTTAACAAATGAATGTAATCTTTGTTTGCCTATCTTTTATGTTCATGCTCTGATACGTGTCATTTTCTGTGTGTGTCACAAAATCTCCCAGCAGACCGACCAGGCCCCGCGCAGCACCAACGCAAAGTCCTGCAGAACGACCCGCCGACCGAGCATTTGGATCGGTGTGGAACGATTTGGGTGTGAATCCAAGCGATTTGGACGCTACTAGGGGCTCCTGGCATCGCTACTAGGAGCAAGGACGCTACTTGGGGCTCCTGGCCCTACTACTAGGAGCAGGAAGCTACAAGGAGCAAAGGGCATCGCTACTAGGAGCAAGAAGCTACTAGGAGCAAGGGCCTCCAACCTAGAAGCGATGGCCGCCACCCTACTAGCGATGGCCTCCAACAGAAGGACTCAAATGGTTGCTTTATGTCGCTTTGACTGTCGCCTGTCGCTTTTCTCTATCCTCAGTGTTGAAGGATGGTGGGTCAAATCCTGTCAAAATCATTGACATTTCCATACCTATGATGCTTGAGTATCGGCTTGATCTTTGAGTTAATACAGGACACAAACGACCAATCCAGATCAGGACTGTGCATTGGCGCATCGAAAAGCTCAGTCGAGCCTTCATGGTGAGATGTTGCGACTCAAACCACCTGCAACGCCATCATCACTCGGCTCCCAACAGAAGGAAGAATCAAATCAACCCAACATCAATAGTGTCAATAGGTTCGTGAGGGAAGTCATGAGTTTTTGTCGGGGCGTCCAGCAAGATAGGATAATGAAAATAAACGAAAACGGTTTAATCTGGTAGAATATTCTCAGAGATGATCTATCTTTATGGTCTTGCAGATTGTCGATTGTGACTATCTGCATCCCTTCGCAAAAAAAGGACCAACCATCGCAACGGGCAACCCGTCGATTGCTGGTTCACTTCAGGTCAGAAACGAAACAATAAACTCTCACCGTTTCCATGTGTGGACAAGACCTTGTGACTCACAATGTGACCCCGTTTCCGCATACAAAATTAAACTATTTTTGTTACTAGTAGTACGGCACTTGTTACTACTAGCGTGGCACTTGTTACTACTAGTAAGGCACTTGTTCCTAGTAAGTTGCCCAATTGATTCTCTCATCTTCAAGTATCTCACTTCTCCCACCCGGGTGCGTGCGGACCACATGTCCCATGGTCCCCATCGCCTGGCGTGCTTCAACTGAAACCAGGCGTGCACTAACATGATCGCTAAGGAAGAGCACCTGGGACCGGCAAGCTGAGTATATACCAGATGCTACCAGTCTACAGTACCTGAAATTCCAGAAAAAGTGAACTCCTCAATTGATGCTTTGCGTGGATCGCATTTGGATTGGAGATCGGGGTGGAAAAAGCAATTGATTGATCACATGATGAAAGAGATACGATGAGGAACATGATCATCCCCCACTCTCTTCAGATCTCTCCAGCTCCATTTTAAATGCCAAGTTGCCACAAGAAGAGTGCTGTCCTGCAGAAACGACGTGAAAACAGTTCTGCCTCAAAGAATCTGAGACACAAAAAACGAGAAATCGCGATGTTAAGGGATCTTTTTTGGTAGTCTTTGATGGTCTTTGAGCAATGGGGACCCTCGGAACTTCAATGGTTTCACAAGAAAGAAACAACTCTTGGGCTCTTCTCATTCAAATTTCTTCACCGGTTTGAGAAAGCTAAAGGTTTGACTAAAACAACTGTGACATCCCCCAGGAAAAGGAAGCGGGGTCACTTCAGAACACAAGTTTTAGTTCACTTTGGAACACAGGGTTTTAGTTCGCTTTGGAACACAAAACATGGGTCACACAAAACACACAAAAACATGGAAGGGTTAGCAAAAAGCGAGATCACTTTGGAACACAACGCACCTGATTTTTTGGTTCACTTTTGAACACACACACACAGACACAGATGGGGAGGGTTTAAGGATGAAGGATGGGGTGGGGTGGGGGGG